CTCACTGAGTAAAGCTGGGACAATGTGATCAGTGAAAAAAATCCTGATAGTGATAGATTATAATCCACAGACTAAAATCAATATCCATGAGCTCACTGTTGATATAAATAATTTAATAACACATGTAGAAGAAATTATAGCTCTTCATTACTGTAAAATTCAATTATTTGTGTAGGAAGTAAAGTAAATAAAAACCACCACCAGTAGACAACAGAGTTCTTGTTATTTCAGGGAAGAATCAATGATTGATGCTAAAGTTACTGGACAAGAATATGATAAACAACAGGATATTTCGACATTCTCAAAATATCTCCCCAAAAGATAGCTACTAAACACAAGGAGGAAAATGATACAGTGGCAAAGCTTGGCAGGTTGAACATTAACCAAGTGACCAAAATTAATATAATCAACAGTAAGATACATTGATCTCCTTTAGCTTCTGATAGTATGCAAAGGAGAAGGGCCAAGGATGTAACACAACTTCTGTAGCGATATTGCCCCAAATCTATTAACTAATCAGACAGAGCCAAACTGAGGGACAGTCTACAAAATAACTAAGGAGGTAGTCTCGGAAAGTGTGAGGAGGGAGGGTGGAAGGAAGGTATTGGCACAGAATGGAGTGACTACAGAGGGATGACATCTATGTCACTTGGCAGCACCAGATAACGGATGATGGTAAGCCCCTGCTAAATTCAAACAGGGCCCAGAGATGTGAGAATATTCTATCAATTTTGATTTTCAGACTTCAATAATTGCAATATCCAAAATATCAATATTAGGGGAACCTGGGTGAAATGTACACAGGATGTTTATAGTATTTTTTGAATATTCTACCCACCTGAAATTATTTCAAAACAACTCAAATATCTAAGTGCATAAACTCTCAAAAACTCTCCAGTGTACTGAGTGCACCAAGCCCCTTTTCTTGCAACTCAAGTCTTGGATCTTTCGTATGTATACCAGTAGCCATGACAACTTGGATTTTTTTCCCATTTCCTTCTCCTTTCCTGAGTTCTTCACCAAGAGCTGACCCAGAATACAGAAGCTGTTTCCTTTTATGCCATTTTCTCATGTCTGTCTCTTAATCTATTCCTTATACCAGTCTCTCAGTGCATTTCTGTATCCCAGAAGATTCATGAACCAAGAAAATGAAAATGAAACTTTCATTATAGAACAGAAGGGAAACCTTGCCTGGCCAAGGATTGGTATTTTCATGAAAGTAAGAAAGAGAAAAACAGAATGAATTATATCTGTCTAACACCAACATCATCAAACATCATCAATCTATGTGTAGATGATAAACCCTGCAGGTGATCGGGAAGGAGTAATTTGAGACAGGAACTACACTACACAGAAAGTTATCACCTTCTCAGAATAAATTCTTGGTTGGCCTTGTCAAGAGATAAACTTAGCAGGTTAAAAGTTTAAAGTGTATTTGAACAGGCAGGTATTCTGCAAAAGCAAGGCCAAACAAATTGTGTGATTGAACTGGAAATTCCATAAATAGAAGTTTGTTGTGGATTATGATCGGTAAAATCTCCCCTAGGTGGTGAGCTGGCAGTCAAGTCCAATGAAGCTCAAACTTCACTTTACTGAGCTGTGAACATCTTTCTCAGCAGCATTTTGATTTCTGTACATACCAAGGCAAGTGAGCTCTGGGGCTACCTCAGTATAATGGCCTCCCAATTAATTTTTAACAGCCTTTAAGTAAGACATTTTCTCTCTCATTTGAAGAATTATTGGGTTAGTAAATACTAAAATCACATTTAGCATTAATTTTTTTGATATATACTATTCATATGCACACAAGCATGTCTATTTTCACATTACCCCCAACAATCTCTCTCTGTGCAGTATACGTGTGTATCCAACTAGCTACGGTCTTTAATCCTGGTTCCTGGCACAGGACTTCAAAACTACCACTCATTGCCTGAGTGATAGTGGTGATTAGAGCATTTTTATTTATTTTTTTTTACATCAAGCCCCTTCCAGCCATACCTAAGTTTATGATTCTCTGCCAGAGAAATCAACCATGTAGAGGGTGAGAACTTTTGGCCCCATACCTGAGTCGCCAAGAAGAAAGGGTGAGAGGTTCACTTAATAGCCAATAGGCAGTGGTTTGATCAGTTCTGTCTATGGACTTCCCAACCTGCCTACAGCCCCTAAACCACAGGCTCCAGCAAGCTTCCCGGCTCGACAGCACACTGAGGTGTGGGGAGGTAGCAGGCAGGACAGGGCAGGGAAGCTCTGAGCCCTCTCTCCCTGCTTTGTGCATCTCCCCATCGAGGTGCTCCTGAGTCCCACATACTTTTCTGTAAATCAGGGGTGAGCTCCTCCTTAGTTCCAGGAGCCATTGTAGCAAATAATGAAATCTGAAGTGGTGTTGGCAGGGGGAGAGGAGAGATAGAAATGCAAGTGTGCTGAGTGCCTAATACTGTGCCCAGCTCCTGAAGGCGGACCATCTCGTGGGACAAGCCCTGGAGCTGGTATGTCCTAACCCTGATTCTGGGTAGCTACTGTCCAAATTGAATTGCTTGGTTGGGCACCCAGTTGGTACCCAGAGCACTAGAGAAATGGTTTTTGGTATGGTGGCGGGGGTCTCCACACATATGGCATCAGAGGTGAATGGAAACAGTTCAGACCATCCAACACAGTAATCTTCATAGTCTCAGAGCACTTCCCTATAAGATGCTTCTTACCAAAAGAATATTTCAACCATTTCAGCCAAGAAAGCCAGCAGACAATGGCGTAGCTGAATGCTAATATTTCCCCACGCCAGCAATGGGACCTCAGCATCCTGTATCTTCTCTGATGCGCAGCACAGAGAGGGGCAGACGCCACTGCAGTGAGAGATGCTCCCAGTGGCCTAGCCACACCAGCGCGCTGTGTTTGATACCACCTTTCTTGTCTTTTCTTGCAAGATCTCACCTGGCCACTATCAGTGCTTAGTCATAGCAGTGAGAGAACATTAGCTTCTCTGACTTTATCAACAACCACCGCATAATGGAATCATGTGGACACAGAATAAGTCTCATTCTATTTTGGGAAACATCCGGTTAACAGCAGAATCATGTGAGCACTCTACAGCCGCAGAGAGTTAGTGACTCACTGCAGCCCCACACAGCGGTGGCAGCGGCTTGGCTCTTGTGCTCTGATGCTTGTTTCTGCAGCCCCCAGCAACCATGCTGCGTTCCCACCCATCACAAAGCAAAATGAAACAAAAATCACCAGGTGTTGAAAGGCCTAAATTGGATTATAGTCGCGCCATTTAGAAGAACAGATTTTATTACTAGTTACTTACAACTGAATAAACATTCTCACATTAGGTCATGGTTCTTTGGTATTATGGTGGGGATTATTTTTACTTAAACGTGTCTGCTTCTCAACAAATGGGGAAAGGATATAATTTTTCAAGACGAAATGGACAACCGAAGTTTCTGCAGTGGATTGGAAATGCTGGATGATATTGAAATTGCAACACTTTATTTCACATTATTTCTTTGACAAGTTATCAAAGTTGCTACAAGTGATATAGCACACTTGTAGTTTTTAAACTTCTTTGTGCATCAGAGGTAAGGGCCAAACATACAGATGCTGGGGTTCTTCTTTAGATGTTCCAAGCCAGCATCTCTACAGAGGTGACTCAGGAATCTGTTTTAACTCATTTCCCCTTAAACCCAGTGACCAGTTGGAAAATATGGTAGTAACTTTTCACCAATCTTACTCCCAGTTATTAATGACCATCCGGACACAGCCTAACCTATCATAACAAAATTCATGGCTGGGGATGGATCCAGGATCAGAGCGCAGTGGTCTGTGGGCCGAGGCTGGCTCGTTACTTGCATGCTTCTGCATATGAAGCTTTCACAGAACACAGCCATGTGCATCTGCTTAGCAGTTATCCTTGGCTACTTTCTCACTAATAAGGCAGAGCAGAGCCACTGTGACGGGTGCCACATGCACTACTAAACTCAATACATACTGCCTGGACAAGGACAGAAGCTTACCAACCTCTGGCAGCAATAACACTGGGGCCCGAGGGATCAGGAAGGTGGGTAAGCTAAGACAGGCTGGTACAACACTTGGAGGCTAACACCTAGGCCCTTCCCTTCTCTGGATTCCAATTCTAGCCCAGCCACATGCTAGAAGAATGTATTCTTTCTAAACTTCAGTCTTACTTATCTGTGAAATAGGATTAGATTAAAAAGCATAAAATTCAAAGGATATGAGTGGAATTTTGGGGCTAGATCTAAGGAAGAAAGATAAATAAATAATTAGCTTTGCTTTTTACTTGCTCAGATGACCTCTCAGTACATTTTTCCTTAAGAAGTTATATTGTAGCCAGGCATAGTGGTGCTTACACAAATTGAAGCAGTCTAGGAGGCTGACACAGGAGGACTGCAAGTTCAAGCCCATATTGAACAAATTACCAACTTAGCTGGACCCCTGTCTCAAATTAAAATGGAGAAAGAGAGAGAGAGAGA